CACACTCTCTTCCTGATTCTGAAGAGGTGTTCCTGCCCAGGCTCACACCTCACCTTCCATCTACCATGTCTCACATAATTTCTTTCCTTCCAGCCTTCCCTAAGTATTGGGGAAACCCTTCCACTTTTCAGCCTTTCTGGCCACTCAAAAATATGTAACTTTCTTCAACCCAAAATTTGAGCACTCCAGGTATACAGGTGAGAAACAGTTTTTCCTCATATACCAGTACTGAATATTCTATCTCAGGCACACAATTAAATAAGAAAACTAAAGAAAATGCTTCCCACGTGGAGTTATTAAAGCTAAGTTCTACTAGAAAGCAAATCCTACGTTGAAAATATCAATTGGCTTCTGACATTTCTGAAGACTTGTGAAAATAAAGTTCTTCTGAATTCTAGGCTAGTTTGTTAAGAGCGCACTTTCCAAAAGAAAATATTGAGTGCTGTTGAGTGCTGCTGTTAGAGTTAAGTATGTACCCTAGATTAAAAAGGAAGAATGAAATTCCTGCCTACTTTTTTCCTATTCAACACTAGCTGCCTCTGGGAACACAAAGTAAATTGAGACACATGCATTTTAAGGCAAGTACTTCTAGCACTCCTTCACTTCAACAAGAGGCTAAAACCACTCCATTCAGTAGCACTTTCCAGTCAAAGATGTTTTTGAAATCACAAAGATTTGCCATATCTGTAAAGTAAGTGCAGATTTATAATATCTTAGAACAAAGTTAGCATCAGCCCAGCATTCACCCACGGTGGAAAAAAGGGGAGCAGATACTCTCTCATGTACCCTAGAAGCAATCTTTCTCCAATATGGCACCTCATAAAGATCTACTGCAATGAATTTCCCATGTGCATTTTTGTTTCCTGCATTAGTGCAACACTGACTCATTTCTTCCCAGAATTTAAGATAATACCACATAAATCTGCAAACTATCCTTTCTCAGTACCTTGGCAAGTTCTGAGAGTGACACAAAACACTTAAATGTTCTCTATAGTTAAGAAAAAAAGCCACTGGATTAAGTCACTGAAATAGTGTATCTAACAAAAGCAAAAATCAGCATAATTTCAAAAAGTACTTCAAGCACACTTATGTGTTCTGCAATTTGATCTTAAGACCAATAGTTGGAATCTTTTAAATTAAAAAAAAACTAACTCCCAACGGAATCATATCCAAAACTAAAGTAATTCATTTCTCCTACCAAAAAAAAAAAAAGACAAAGTTTTACACCTGCAATTGTATAAGTATATAACAGAACTATATTTATGCTATAATTCTGTGAGTTAATTTACTGTCTTGTAATTAATGCCAAAGTATCAAAAACTTTGTCAAATGCTATTCAAATATTCCACAACTATCAACACTTAGGCTTTTTGAACAATGCAGATCTCATGCTATCTTGAGAAACATTTGGAAAAGACAGATTTTATATTAGTTTTTTTCTTGGTCTCAAATTAGTAGTAATACATTTACTGGCAACCATAGGTTTTAGTATCAAATTAATTTCTGGGTTTATAGTCATATTTTTTTTAAAGTAACTAGGGATTGTGTAAGTAATTTCCAAACATTTTTTACATTATTAATCACCAATCAGAATGACAATTTCATATTTAAATTATGAAGTGCAATGATGTGCACATGGCAAAATATACCAGTGATCACTAGGACTATTCCTTTACTATCAATTGTTTAAATCAAGGCAAATTCACACAAGTTTTGGATAGAGGGGAGTGGGGTAACAGTTATGGTTGTGTATTAAAATATTATGAAGGCCAAAGATTATCACTCAGATATTGAGAAAAATGGATTGACACATAGTAATTCTTTGTACATATAATAATTAAATACTGCCTAGTCTCTTTTGGATGTTGTAACTATTATCTACACTTTGCTAGAGAGTTAATTATTGGCAAAGTAATCAGAAATAGAATACTGCTCTATCAAACATAAAAGTGTAGCCCTATAGATGTTTTTTTTTTTGTTGTTGCCTTCATCACAGTAGGTGGCAGCACCTAGCCAACCTTGCCTGGTTTTGAAAAAGCAAAGCAGGATTGAACCTGGTTAAGACACAAGAAAATTGCAGGGTATAAATATTATATTCAAAAGAAAGAATATTTTTTTCAGAAGAATGCAATAACAAAACATACATACAAAGAATGGGATTTATTGTAGCTATGCTGTTGTTAATATAATCCTATCTGCTAAACAGTTGCTTCCAAAACTATGTAAACAAAGGTTTAGTTACATTTCCCAAACTTTAATAATAAGCACGCTCACATCAACTTCAAATATATAAAATTATATTTGACCTCATGAAAGGATAATTATATTATATATTGGAATTTTAAGCCATTCAGCTAACAAATTAATGAACTGATTTTAAAATTATTTTATTTCAGTTGAATATATAAGTATTGTATGGCACCAAATTTCCAGGCAGCAACTTTATATATTAAACAATATTAGTCTCCACACACAGCAACTGCATGAGTCAGACAGTTTGAGCCTATGCAAAGATCTGCAGTTTTCATTGGAATGGCAAAGTACCTAAACCTATTTTTCACCTGGTGACTAAGTTAGAACATACCTCTATGCAAGCAGCAACTGATTATACAATTGTTATTTGCAGTGAATTGTAACACACCTATCCTTGAGGGGAGAATGAATACTTTCATGCAGTGTTTAAAAAGTTGTTGAATGTAGTTCATTTCTGCAAGGATAACTGTATTTAGCAATGTGCAGTCTAACTTGCTGGCACATTTGAGAAAAATAGCATCACAGTTGTGTTTATCTGGAATAGTGACTTCCATGTGTATAATTTAATACCTGAACTGGTCACAAATAACCCTTGTGTATATATAAACCTGTTTATATTGCAGCGTAAATCAGGATTTATGGAATAGCTTTTGCAAATGGTAAAACATGTTTTTTTCTGATAAATTTTTGAGCATTTTTGCTAATGCTACCCTTTAAATTATGTAAGTGAAAAATTGGGATGATAAAATAAACATGTTCCCTTTTTTGAGAAAAGCTAGTGAATGAACACAGATTCTTAGATTAACACAATCCTGCAAATATAGTTTTTAACCTATGCCACTTAGGTATGTGACCTAAAGTGTGTAAAAGGCAGGATACAAGCCTTAAATTATATACTGAAAGAAAATACAAGCAAGATAAAATGTAAAGTTCAACCAATCCATTTTTGTTAAATAGCATATAAACTCTTCTACTGGAAGAGATGACTGTGGCAATCAAGATATGAAACTACCATAGTATCTATATTGAAAAGATAACCAATGTACACTTGACATGGATCCTAAAGGGTTTCTGTGCAATTTGAAGGATGGCTTTCTCTCAATACTTTTAAGCATCCAGACCACAACTTTAAAAGCTGTAACAATGGTAAAAGTGCCAAAATACACACAAAAACTCGTGTTAAAAAACCTTCTTCCAGTCACACAATGCATCATGAGCAAGCAATGTCAGATAGGGATAAGCTAGCATCTCAAAGCATATGAACTGATGTTTGATTTTTATTCTAAATATACCATTTCTTTTAGCAGCCTATAAGCAAGAAAATCAACTCCAATGTTCTTTCCGGTTTTCTCTCTATATATATTTTTAATCAATCATTTTCTCGTTTCTATGATGGCTTTGGCACGACTTAGCTATGCATGCAGATCCCTACCAGATGTGAAGAAAACCTGATCCAGCGGGCCTATTTCACCGCCTTTTTAATCAACCAAAAAAGTAAAAAGCTGCGAGAGACACAGAGCGAAAGAATGAATCTGGTCCGACTTAATAATGGGGTAAGTAAGCTGCAGGCTTCTCTAACTTGCAAGCTTCGTCTTGCCCCGTCACTCCTTCCTCCTTCCCTGCCTTGCCTAACGCAGAGCCAACGAGGAAGTCAAGTTGGGCGGGCGGAAGCCGAGCCCCATTGCAATGCCTGCAACGAGATTGCCAGCCCGTGACTCAGATCGCCGACCTGACAGCAGCTGCCACCACATTCAGCGGTCTTTCTCTCCGCTGTTTTCCAAAAAGGGCCTCCCAGGCAACTTAAGGGGGAGGGTCGCAAAGCCTACCCCCACCCCCTCCACAAGATCACTAAGGTGCGGGGACCAATTGCAAGCGCGGACGCGAGAGGAAAGCAGATTCAACCGTTCCCAAGGAAGCCTTTTTTTAAAAATCTAAGCATTTAAAAAGAAAAAGAGAGAGTAAGGGAAAGGGAAAGGGGGGGAAGAATCACCTGAACGGCTGCTTTTTTTTTTTTTATCTCAGCCCACTTTTCAGTTTAAAATCCTTTCTTGCCCGGTTGCCGCCGGGTGGGGAGGGTGAAGCCGGAGCAAGGCAGGAGCGAGGCATATGCTAGCCAGCGCATCCAAGAAAGGAAACGTGAGAGCAACCCTTCCCTTGGCCCTGCGCGTGGAAGACGCTTCCTTAGCCCCAGGCAGAGAAGGTGAAAGGCTACACCTTCCCCAAAAGGCGACGTCCTCAATGGAAGTGGGTGGCACTTCCTGGACTTCCAGCGCACTTGGCATAAAAAAGGGAATTTAGAAGTTAAGCCACACCCGCCCGCCTCTCAATGAACCTTTAACCCGCGGGCGCCAAACTGAAAATCATGCGCCGTATTGTACGTTTCCCGTCCTTTCCCGCACCAATTCCAAACTGGGACTTCACCTGAGTCCGGCCAAAAGCCTTAAAGACGACGACGACGACGCGACTCCTTTTTCTTACGCCAGAAAGACTAGAGCTGATAACTAATACCTTCTCGGAGAGCCCCAGCGCCCCACCCGCTGCGTTGTTCCAGCTTCAACGCCTCTAACTCACCGGCAGCAGCGAGGTTTCAAGCCGGGAGGGAGCGGCCACCGCTAAGGTCTGAAACATCCACTTGCGGCATCCTCAGCCAATAAGAAGAGGAGTTTGCTCTGACAGAGAGCCAGTTTCAGCCAATGGAGACTCAAGTGGAGGGCGGTGTTTCAAAGGAGGCGTAAGACTTTTTTTTTAATCTTCTCAACTGACGCCCTAGCTCCCGCTCTTCAATTAGCCTCCCACCCCCACGCCAGAAATGGCCACAGCCAATGGTCTCGCGCTCGAGAAAGAGCAAAGATTGGCATCTTAGGCAACCAATGCATTTTGGAGAAAGAGGGCGGTTCTTCGTAGGTCAATCTTTAGTGCTTCGGTGATTGTTTGAGGCGTGGCCACCAGTAGCAGAGTGGTGGGAAATGACTGCAGAGGGAACAAACGCCTGTCATCCATGTTTAGCTCAATTCACCTTGGCTGCTCAAATTCTATCCATCCTTACTCAGAAGAAAGACCCATTGTTTTAATGGGGCAAATAAGTGTAAGGATTGCCACTTTAAATAACCTAAAAAGCAATCTATCCATTTAGATACTGTTCGAAGATATGATTCACTCTTCTCCTAGAAAAAGGAAAAGAAACTCAAAAAATATTAAAAGAGCAGGAAAATTCCCCTAAAAGAAAATAAGCAGAAACTCAGGCAGAGTTTCAGCCCCCACTTTTGTCAATGGGCCATTAAGAAGCTGAAGCCACCCTATTTTCCACAACGAAGGAAGGACAAAATTACAGGGGCCTGCAACATCCAAACAGGTATGGGACACAGAAAAAAGCAAACACCCAAAAAGGAAAAGAAGTCAAGCCAAAGTAATTAGAATTTTAAACACATGAGAAAAGGAGATATTCACTAAAACACAGTAATAGCAAACTGATTAATTATAGGGAACGAACAACTACAAAGGGCTAGGAAAAAGAAGAGATTGGACTATAAAACAATTATTTGCCAGATCCAGGACGGAGGAACCAATCACAAAAAAGCAAGATTTAAACACCATAAAACAAACACACACATGAATCAAAGGATTCACGTGCCAAATCAAAAATAATTTCAAAAGACTTTAAAGGGTCACATAGAAAAATCAAAAGACCTTTTAGGATATAAAAAGCGTTTTTCTTAACAGCTCAAACAGTCTAGCCTCCGAACGTTGTGCTTGTATTTGTTTCTTGCCTGCCTTCCTATAAACAATAAACTAATTCTGCTCTCAAGCAGCTGACCTCCAATCATTTCGAAGTAATCTCCCAGCCGGGAGTTTTGAATTCAAGAAGGGAAAGCTCTGCCTTCCAACAATCCTTAAAGGGAAAGGCTTCTTTTTCTTCCAACAATTGGTGACTCTCCCAGCCAACCCAGCCACCAGACGGGGCCCAGAGATCAAAACTCAGCCGCCACAGACCTTCTTTGTCTGGGGAAAATATCTACGGACCCTGCCCTGGAGGCATCAGGTAGTAAAGAGAGTCCTTGAGCTTTGCATTCAGCAGCTGCTTGAAAGCAGGTGAGTTTTAAATTTAAAACCCTGGAACTCTGTGGGGAGTGGAAGCGAGAGAGGAAACGTGTGTGTATGTGGGTTTTACCCAGTGGTGGGATTCAATTTTTTTAACAACCAGTTCTGTGGGAGTGGCTTAGTTGGGGGTGTGGCTTGGTGGTAAGGTGACTAGGTGGGCGTGGCTATGTGCATAGGGACTCAGAGGGCCGAAAAAAGTCATTTCTGACTGGTCCTCGCACTTTTGACAGGTCCTCGCACTTTTGACCGGTCATCATTTATGCCCATTGCAGCATTCTTAATTAAATTAATTAAATAAAAATGACCTGCTGGAGCGGTCAGAAGCAGTCCGAGGCAGGCATTCGGGCCAGCTGCATGTGTAGGGGCCCATACGCGCATGCACAGGGGGTGAGGCATGTGTGCGGAGTGCGCATGCATGGGGGCAGAGCACATGCAGGAGGCCGCACGCATGGGTGGGGGCTGTGTGCGCATTGCATTTTGGGGCTTCGGGTGCACTTTGACCACTCGATCCAGAAAAAGTTAGCCATCACTGATCTATGTCCATTTTAAATATTCAGATGTCGATAACCAAAATTTAGTAGAGCAAATAATTAAACAAATGCTATAGGGCGGCAGTCCCCAACACTTCTGGCTCGGAAAAAAAAATGACTTCCACAGACTGGGAGGCGGTGGGGAGATGATTTTGGGGGCAACCTAAATCCTATGCATGAACAAATGAAGCTTTGCTCACTCATCCGCTGCTTGTTCAGCCCAGTTTCCAACAAGCCGCAGGCCGGTACTGGTCCAGGGCCCAGGTGTTGGGGACCCCTACTGTAGGAGCAAGGGAGTAAAAAAGTCAAGGTATTGCTTCTTGCTGCCCTCCTGCATTTTTGACACATTTTGACACTATAGATGCCCCTGAAATTATGTAGAGGAGCCTTTCCAAGACAGCTGAGCTACCTATAAATCTGGAATTTGTTATCACCATATTTGGTGAGACACCAGGTTGTGAGTGGGGGTTAGTATTGTGAAACCTGAATGAATAAGGAATCATGAGAATAAAACAATAGGCATTGTTTTATATGGCAGGTTTCCCTAACTCAGTATTCTCCAAATTACTTCAGCTACCATTATAACAACAGGATTAATGGAATTTGGAATCTCACAATGATGCAAAACCACATTTTGCAGAAGTCTGAAGTATAATACCATATTATTCAGTTGAGTTGTGCAGAGGAGTTTTATAAAACAAGTAGGGAAAGAAAAGATTTGAGAAAGACAATAAGAATTTTAAAAGTAATTTAAAGTGTATAATTTGACTTAGGGGAAGAGTCATAAATAATGACCTGAAGGAAATAACTGGAATTCTGGAATATTATTTAGCAAGCCAAGGAAAATAATATTATTAAATGCTACCACTACAAACTACTCTGCTGCTTTGAATTGGCAAATGTTGATTTACATTTATTTTACATAGGAGATAATTTATACTTTTCACAGTTCTGTTTCCATCACATGGTATAAAGAGGGGCAACCATTGTACAGCAAATTCAGTCCAAAGAGCAGTTTGTTTAATCCATTCTGCTGTCATATTTATGACAAATTTGTTTTCACAGATGTTGTTGGCAAATAGATTGTCTATAATATTGGTTTTAGCTGGTTAGGGTTTTAACAAGATGCAACAAATCAGTAGTGTTAATTAAGTTTTCCTTTCTCAGTATTGTTGCTATAATATATTTGCATTGCTGAGACAAAGTAGTAAAAAATGCAATGCAAGAAAGTTTAGAGGCTGAATAAAATGGGAAAGAGTTTGTAAGGCCAACATAACCCATTTGCATCTGAGAAAGAAATGATTGGCACCCTATAACTTGTCATGCTGATAGTTGCCAATTAATACTAATGCTACAACAAATTTATCTGAGACTACCCTTACTTTCTATGAGACTTGCCAAATTTATAGCAAAGTATTGCGAAACCTGACACAATATCATGACACTTAGCTATATCACATAATATCTGGATGATTGCAAATAAGAGATATTCTGCAAGGACTTTTCTCCACATAGTCTAACTATAGTCTTTAGGAAGTTCCTGCAGACTGGTACTTGAACTACAAGTTCACCTAACTCTGCAACTTATTTGAGAAGCCAGCAGTCGTGTAAGTGTGAGCATCTTGCATTGGAAAAAATAAAGTTTTGGTAGTGAGCATTTACAACTAGGTTCATGCATTACACTATAATTTATCTGGTTTTGCTTAATATGTTAGGAAGCCCAGCTATTGTAGTTTAGTGAATAAACATTGTTAAGCAAACCATGGGGAGGTAACCCCATCTTATGTTCCAAAATGTGAAAGCTCTGCTTACTTGGTGGAGGTACAACTACAGAATAGGAAATGTTTGTAGGATTTTCATATATTACCATCTAGCAAGTTGGTTCTATTTTTTCCCCAGATAAAACGATATATACTTAAGTTAGGTACATAAATTTGCAAGATTGTATTCATATATTAGTCTATGTTTTTTGTAAAAAGTATATGAGTTAAATAAGATATGTTTCTGAACTTGTTCATGCTCTTTCAGACCATAAAAAGTGATTCTGCTCCTCTTATTGGACTTAGTTTTAACTTTTTAATATTTATGGTTTTAGGTTTCAAAACAAAGTCAGGTTCATAATAAAGAATTAAATGTCCTCACGTCAGTCTTCTGAATAAAGAAAAACTCATAATCTTTTTATTTCAGTTGTCTCTCTTATTCTGTGATATTTGTGACAAAATAGGAAAGTGACGTTTCAATAGAGGAGCCATTTGTAAACACCAAAGTATTTTCTTTATGCATTAAGGAACTGTGAGACAGGAAGTTGCAAATACAACTCCCTGATACTAAAAATGACTGTTAGTTGCTCTAATTATAACTGAAAACATAGTAAATGAAGGAGGTATCCACTTGATATTTAGTTGCCTGCTTTTGGGGAAATTCTATAAATTAAATCCAGCCATGTCTAAGATTTCTCTTGTTTCACAATATCCACAATTGCTACAATGTTCTTATTACTAGGTTCAAGGACTACCAAAATGTTCTGTCAGTTCTTTTCCACCCTCACAATTAAAAAGCATCAGTACCATAAAGAATGAGTTCATATTACACTAAGCCATGCTTTATTATTCATAATTTACTGAATATACTGGTTTTACTGAACATGATATTCCAAAACCAAACATTATGACTTTGAATGTCATGTGAACACAATATCCTAGCATAAACCAGGCTTTTATGTTGTAAACCAGGCTTCTCTGACTTAATGACCTCTAGATGGTTGGCTGAGAATTATGCAAACTGAATCCAAGACTACAGAAAGCTACGTTGTATGCACCAACTGGTAAGTCACTTATTTTTTTAATTTAACTGGAATGCATTTTCTTTCCAGGAAAACTTGGTGTTGCCTCCATCTTAATTGTGTGACAGGTGAATTAGACATTTCAGTTTGTTCAGAAGCCTGTGAGGGGATTATAGCTAATTTATCAGCTCCAAGACATGACATTCCTAATTTAACACAGGAATATTTCAAAGCATTTTTACTATGTAGTGTTCTCAGTAGATTTGGAGCATGCTGGTTACCATGGTAACTAGGTCAGTGTGGTGGGGAAAGAGGGTGGAAATGCTTGTGGTTTCCCTCAGCTTGTACGTGTCCTTCCTTTTTCTTCAGACCTTGCCTGTTGCACTGACATTTTTTTCTGGCTGCTTTCTACATTGTTAAATAGCTCCAATGAGATTGCTCAGTGGGTTTTACCCAAGACTTGCCCAATTCAGCAGCTAGAAGCCCAGTTTTGGATAGCACCAAAGATCTAGCGATTGTAAAAGTGTTCCCTATAATGAGAACTGTTTTATATTAATAAATGATTTTATCCACCCAATATATAATTACAGTTAAAGTTGTCTCAATGATGGTAGCTATTTTTTTAGATAATCACATTCAAACTGAAATCTGTGAATCCCTTTACTGACTCACCTACTCTTTTTATAGTCTCCTGGCAGATTAGTTATGTGAGCTGATACATAGAATGCTAATAGTGTGGGGTTGAAGGACTGACTAGATTGCTTTTTCAACTCTAGACTCTGATTCACATGATCATATACCGCCCTTGATTGCAGGACATGCAGGTAGTTCCTGACTTGGTTTACTGACTGTTTGAAGTTACAAAGGCACTGAAAAAAGTGACTTATGGCCATTTTTCACACAACTGTTGCAGCATCCCTGTGGTCACATGATCAAAATTTGGATGCTTTGCAACGGACATGCATTTATGACTGTTGCAGTATCCCAGGGTCACGTCAACCATAACCCTAATCTTTTGCAACCTCCTGACCCGCAAAGTCAATGGGGAAGCCAGATTCATGTACAAACAGTGTTACTAATTTAACAGCTGCACTGATTCACTAAACAACAGTGGCAAGGAAGTTTCTAAAGTAGGACAAAACCCACTGAACAACTGTGTGGTTCAGCAATGGAAATTTGGGGTTCAATTCAATTTGGGTCATAAATCAATGATTACCTGTATATGCCTGATTCACGTAACCGTACTGAGCTTGATATAGACTTTTTTAGAGTGAGTGTGTTGTGTGCATTCAGCCATTAAGGTTTAGTCAATATAGCATGGTTAAGTGAAGCATGACTCAATATGATATATCAGCCCAGCCATGGTAACTTAGTTATAGAACTGAGTTAACTCCATTGAAAAATAATCTCTCTACCGTGTTTCCCCGAAAATAAGACCCTGTCTTATATTTTTTTGAACCCTGAAATAAGCGCTTGTCCTTATTGCCATGCACTCAAAAGCCTGATTGGCCTTATTATCAGGGGATGTCTTATTTTGGGGGAAACAGGGTATTCATACCACATGCTAAGCCTCAAAGCTCAGTTGCCAAGCACATCAACAAGAATCTTTAGCAGGATGTTTGGTTTACTCTGTTACACAAACCCAAAATGAATATCACTTTACTTGAAGCTGAAATTTGCAGCCAAAGCTGCTATGTTTACATTTTTATTTTCTGCAAATAAAAAATGGCAGATTCTGAATTGGTTAACCCAACATTCTGGAACCACACAACACCCAAAATATATTACGCTGCATTTTAGCTTGATGTATTGTGCAAATCCATTCTCTTTAGCTAGTTTATGGCTCAATGTATCATATACATTAATTTGGGTAAACTTTAGTATGTTTAAAACCATCATTGTTATGTGTGAGATTAGACTAAATGAGATACCAATTTAAAAACTACATACTGTATAATGCCAAGACACAGACTTGTTAATCAGCTTTTTAGTTTAATGTGATGATATTGGAAATGATATAAAATTACACATTTCTTTCTGATGTCATATACTGATGAGCCATTTAAACCTACAAATTATATACATACATACATACATACATACATACATACATACATAGTGTTACATAAAGTGGACCCTATTTTACCAACCTTACCTTAACTAATAAAAATAACCTTAATTGCCTACTGATGTCATTTCATAATCTATACTTCCTTGCTTTTCTATTTAACCCTCTAAATTGTCTTACAATTAACATTTAAATTTCATTTATTTAGTATTGTATTATTGTATTATGGGATATGTTATTAATATCATTTGTGCAGTGAATATTTGCCCCCCACCCCCGCCCTCCTGAAGACACTCAGCAGGATGCACTACACCATCTCTGACAGCTGACCCCAGCAGAGGAGATCTCACCTTTCATGTGGCAGTCTATTCCATTAGATGACAGCTTGTACAGTCAGGAAATTCTTCATGATTTTTAACCTGAACCTCATTCCTGGTAATGTTAACCTATTGGTTGTAATCCAGACTTCTGAGGCAATATAGAATCACTCTCTCTTCCGTGTGACAACCCTTCAGATATTTGAAGACTATCGTATCTCCTCTTTGTCATCTTTTCTGGAGGTTAAACATATTGACATTCTTTAACCACTCATTGTTTCTCGACCATTCTGACATCTCTTAACTTGCTCTTAATTCTGCTTTTAACTTGCTCTAGTCCATCACTGTTTGAACTATGGTGCTCAGAACTATGGTGCTCTGCCCCAAAGTGGGGCAGAATAGAACAATTATTTCCCATGTAATGGACAAATGTTTTTCTGTTAATGAACCCCAAGATTGCATTTGGCTTTTAAGTACCTGCTTCACTCAGTTGAGTGAAGAAGCAAGGAGCCCCAGATCCTTTTCACATCTGCTGCTGCCAAGCCAGGACTTCTTCGCCTCCATCCCATACTTGTGCCTTTAATTTTCCTATCCAGATTTCATCTTTACTAATTTCAGCCCACTGCTCAAGCCTCCCTAGATCTTTCTGAATCATGCCATTCCGCTACTAGTGAGTTCTCCCAATTTGACAGTTTGATAAATCATCTTCAGATTTATCAACTGTTCCTTAATCCCCTCATCCAAGTCATTAATAAAAATGCACCCAGGATATATCCCTCTGGTGCTCCATTGATGCATTCTGCCCACAGCCTGGAGTTCGACCTGATGGGGTTCAAGGTTGATTCAGCCTTCCATCCTTCCGAGGTTGGTAAAATAAGGACCCAGATTGCTGGGAGCAATATGATTTTTTTTTTTTTTTTTTTTATTTATCGAATTTCTATACCGCCCTACTCCCGAAGGACTCAGGGCGGTGTACAGCCATGAAATAAAACACATAAATATATAAAATTTAAAATCGAATAAAAATGAATTAAATAAATTTGGCTGAATTAATACCCATAATTTAAAATACCCCTAGTTTTAAAATACATTACAAATTTAAAATTTACATTTAAAAGGGAGAAGATTTAGGCGAGGCCCGCTTGATGAAATAAAAGCGTCTTCAACTCGCGGCGGAAGGTGCGCAGATCCGGGATCCTCCGTATCTCTGGGGGGAGCTCATTCCAGATCGTCGGTGCCCCCACAGAGAAGGCTCTCCCCCTAGGGGCCGACAGCCGACATTGTTTGGCCGACGGCACCTGGAGGAGCCCTTCTCTGTGGGAGCGTACTGGTCGGTGGGAGGCTGTTGGTGGTAGTAGGCGGTCCCGTAGATAACCAGGTCCTAAGCCATGGAGTGCTTTAAAGGTGGTAACCAGCACCTTGAAGCGCACCCGGAAGACCACCGGGAGCCAGTGCAGCTCGCGCAGGAGAGGTGTTACGTGGGAGCTCCATGTTGCTCCCATAACCACCCGCGCGGCCGCACTCTGCGCCAGTTGGAGCCTCCGGGTGCACCTCAAGGGGAGCCCCATGTAGAGAGCATTACAATAGTCCAGACGAGAGGTGACGAGGGCATGAGTGACTGTGCGTAACGAGTCCCGATCCAGAAAGGGACGCAACTGGCGAATCAGGCGAACCTGATGAAAAATCCTCCCGGTCACGGCCGTCAAGTGCTCTTCTAAAGACAGCCGTGAATCCAGGAGGACGCCCAAGTTACGAGCCCTTTCCGTGGGGGTCAATGATTCTCCCCCAATAGCCAGCGATGGCACCAGCTGACTATATCGGGACGTCGGAAACCACAGCCACTCGGTCTTGGATGGGTTGAGCCTGAGCCCGTTTCTCCCCATCCAGATACGTACGGCCTCCAGGCACTGGGACATCACTTCAAGGGCATCGTTGGGGTGATCCGGGGTGGAAATGTACAGCTGAGTGTCGTCAGCGTACAGATGGTACTTCACCCCGAAACCACGGATGATCTCGCCCAGCGGCTTTACATAAATGTTGAACAGGAGGGGCGAGAGAACCGATCCCTGCGGCACCCCACATATAAGGGGCCTCGGGGTCGATCTCTGCCCCCCTGTCAACACAGACTGCGACCGGTCAGAGAGAAAGGAGGAGAACCACCGTAAAACGGTGCCTCCCACCCCCAACCCTTCCAGCCGGTGCAGCATGATACCATGGTCGATGGTATCAAAAGCCGCTGAGAGATCTAACAGGACCAGGACAGAGGAACAACCCCTGTCCCGAGCCCTCCAGAGATCATCAACCAACGCGACCAATGCCGTTTCCGTGCTGTACCCAGGTCTGAAGCCCGACTGGAACGGATCTAGATATGACGCTTCATCCAGGTACTGGGGTAGCTGTCGCGCAACCACACTCTCAACAACCTTCGCAACGAAGCAAAGGTTGGAGACCGGACGATAGTTAGCCAATACTGCCGGGTCCAGGGAAGGCTTCTTGAGGAGAGGCCTTACCACCGCCTCTTTCAGAGCGGCGGGGAAGACACCCTCACCCAACGAAGCATTTATAATCCCCTGGAGCCAGCCTCGCGTCACCTCCCGGGAAGCCAGCACTAACCAGGAGGGACACGGGTCCAACAAACATGTGGTCGCGTTCAATCTACCCAGAATCCTGTCCACGTCATCTGGGGTCACAGGATCAAACTCATCCCAGATAACAGTCTCAAGACCTGTCTCCATCACCCTCTCTGGATCTATCGTGTCAGAGTCCAGACCTGCCTGAATCTGAGTGATTTTGTCATACAGATACTGAACAAAATCCTCGGCTCTTCCCTCCAAGGGGTCCTCCCGCGCTTCCTGGTGGAGCAGGGAGCGGGTCACCCTAAACAGGGCGGCCGGGCGATTATCTGATGACGCAATAAGAGCGGCAAAATGAGAACACTTTGCTGCTTTTATCGCCACTAGGTAATTCCTAATATGAGATCTTACCAGTGTTCGGTCAGATTCAGAAAGACTAGCCCTCCAACAGCTCTCTAGGCGTCTTTTCCGGCGCTTCATCTCCCTCAGCTCCTCGGTGAACCAAGGAGCCAGGCGAGATCGGCGCCGGGTCAGAGGCCGCAAAGGCACGACTCGATCCAGGGCTCCAGCAGCCGCACTATCCCAGGCGGCCACTAGGTCCCCAGATGAGGCGTGAGCCAGAACCTCCGGGATTGGCCCAAGTTCCATCTGGAACCTATCAGGTTCCATCAGGCGCCTGGGGCGGTACCATCTTACCGGTTCCGCCTCCCTGCAGCGGGGTGCCGCGGTTCGAAGATCAAGGCGAAGGAGCGAGTGATCTGACCATGACAAGGGCTCGATGACTATATCCCCTATCTCGAGATCACTCAACCACTGTCCAGAGACAAAAACCAAGTCCAGTGTGTTTCCCCCAGTGTGCGTAGGGCCATGAATTAGTTGGGTCAGGTCCATGGCCGTCATGGAAGCCATGAACTCCCGAGCCACCTCAGACGCCTCACCCACGGATGGCAGGTTGAAATCCCCCATGACCATAAGTCTGGGAGTATCAACCGCCACCGCGGCAATAACGTTGAGTAGCTCGGGCAGGGCTGCCGCCACGTGGCAGGGAGCCAGGTACGTGATCAGCAAGCCCATCTGAACCCCATGGCCCCACTTCACAAGGAGGGACTCACAACCGGCTGTCTGAGGTACAGTGGTCTCCCTCGGCCTAAGGCCTTCTCTAATAATAACCGCTACTCCCCCGCCCCTCCCCTGATGACATTATAAATTGCCCAGAGAGGGCTGTAAAGCTCTGTGGGGCAATATATAGGTCTAAGTGCTATTGCTATTCCTCAAAGCTGAAATGGTACAAATTCTCCTCAGATGTGGTCATTTATCTAAATTACAATCCATTGAATAGTGATAACAACTTTACCACACGGTTAAGGGAAATATGAGAAATTTTGTTGAAAGCTTTGCTGAGGTTCAGGTATACACTATTTGTGGCTTTTCCACGATTTTTTTAACCAGTAATTTTGCCAAAGAAGAAAATAGAGTTAACCTGCCATAATTGTATGCCAAACCCATGCTGACTTTTATTAATTACGAAAGCATGCTCATTCAGATGCTCACAAATAAAGCTGTTTCATAATTGTCTGAGAACCTGCCCAGTATAGATTTCAATTTGACAGGTTTTGGTTTGTTTTTTCAGATCTTCCCTTTCTCATTTTTGAGGATGGGGGCATTTGTTCTCTCTACTTTTCCAAATACTTGAAAGTTTCTTAGGTATTTTTAAATACTGGTAAGCCCTGACATATGACCACAACTGAGTCCAAAATTTCTGTTGCTAAGCAAGACAGTTGTTAAATAAGTTTTCCCCCACTTTAGCACCTTTCTTGCCACCATTGTTAACTGAACCACTGCAGTTGTTAACTTAGTAATACCGTTGTTAAGTGAATCTGTCTTCCCCATTGACTTTACTTGTCAGAAAGTTGCAAAAGGAGATCACATGACCCTGGGACACTGCAACCGTCATAAATAGGAGTCAGTTGCCAAGTGTTGGAATTTCGATCACGTAACCATGGATGTGTTGCAATGATCGTGTTAAATACAGTCAAAGGTCACTTTTTTCAGTGCCGTTGTAACTTTGAATGGTCAATAAACAAATTATTGTAAGTCTAGGACTACCTGCACTACTGAGAGTGGTGTTTCCATCAGTTTCTCCAGACTCTAGAGACCCAAATTTGTTTAAATTAGTAGTTCTCTTACCCCTTTTCTCGCTTCCCTAAACTGTAGTTCCATCCTTCCATTTGTGCAAGAATAACCAGCTAGATGCAATATACTGTAAGAGTTAAGAAGTTGCTTAAGCCTTGCAAGTCTAGAAATGATTAGTCAATAAGCAATAGACAGGTTGATTATTTACTATTAGCTAATATTACAATTATTCTATCAGTTCTACAGTCAACAGATCAAAAGACGGGATGCCATATAAAGTATGTTTGCTCAGAAACATTTTTTTTTCTATTTAGCCAATGCGATGAAGTGCTTAAAGTATTAGGCAGCAAAATAGCATCTGCCTTACTATTTCTCTTAGTTTATTAAAATCAGCTGTACCAAAATTCATGGTTTCACAGTTTTTAATAACGCTTTTGATTAAAATCAAGAATTCTTAAAATCAAGAATTTCAACAATAGATTTGAGAAACTGTATTCAAAGTTCTCACCATTTTAATTAAAATGGTTTCTCCTCCAAATTCCTAGGAATTGTAGTTATTGAATGCCAAGAATTGTATTAACAATTTGTGTTCACTACATCATCAATTTCTCAGCACAGCCAAATCGCAATGAGTGTCACTTGTGACACTCAGTGTCATGTTCCCAGTAATGCATTATATACTTGTCTTCAAGGTCACAAACTTTAATCAATATGATCCTATCAAATGTACTGAATTTTCACTCTCAATTTAAGTACATATGAATATGCTCTACACTTTCTATTCTATTTTTTTTACATTTAGCAGATTGTTATCCAATAGATTTTAGAGGGAATTAAAAGCGCACCCAAAACTAAGATGCTTCATGAAAGTTTTTTAAAAAATACAAATAGACTAGCCTTCCCAAGAAATTGTAATATTATTCTATTCTATTCTATTAATGGCAACTTACAAAAAATAAACACCGAAGATACTTTCAATTTACAGATATTTGTACCAAATAAAGTGATTAAAATATTTCCACAGTTGATGTTATTCAATTTATAAGGCTACCCAATCAAATATGACTTCCACAGTGATTGGCAGGAGTAAAAATGGAAGCAAATGACCAAGGTATCTTCTGGGGAAGGGGATCAAAAAAGGCAAGATGTTGGGCACAACAATATGATCAAAGAACTTTTTCTGTGTTCTTCAACACTATTAGAGAGCCGAGGTGGCGCAGTGGTTAGAGTGCAGTACTGCAGCTACTTCAGCTGACTGCTAGTTCAGCAGCTCAGTGGATCAGATCTCACCGGCTCAAGTTGACTCAGCCTTCCATCCTTCCAAGGTGGGTAAAATGAGGACCCAGATTGTTAGGGGGCAATATGCTATTTAGTATACTGTCTTTGGTGTAAGCTACCCAGAGTCTCGGAGAGTGGGTGGCATAGAAATATGACTAATAAAAATAATAAATAAAATAATAAAAAGAGACTTTGTGCAGTTGTGGCTGCCATCTTTTGTTTTTAATTAATCCAACATCCCCATAATTGACAAAAATGAATGGTACAGGTAGTCCTCAACTTATGATCACAATGGAGCCCAACATTTTTATTGTTAAGTGAGAAATTTGTTAAGTGAGTTTTGCCCCACTTCTTTTGCCACATTTGTTAAGTGAATCACTATAGTTGTTAAATTAGTAATACGGTTGTTAGGTGAATTTTATTTCCTCATTGACTTTGCTTGTCAGAAGGTCGCCAAAGGGGATCACATGACCTTGGGACACAGCAATGGTAATAAGTATGAGTCAGTTATCAAGCATTTGAATGTAAATCACATGACCGTTGGAATGCTACACCAGTCTTAAGTGTGAAAAATGGTCAAATGCCTTTTTTCAGTGCTGTTGTACCTTTGAACAGTCACTAAATGAACTGTTGTAAGTAGAAGACTAGCTGTATTGATATGTAAGCTTCCTAAATAAAATTTTCTCAAATACTATATATGACAAGGGTGTCAAACTCAAGGCCTGGGGGTTGGATCCGGCCCGCAGGGTGCTTAGATCTGGCCTGCGGGGCTGCCCTGGAAACAGCGAAGGACTGGCCTGCGCGGCCCTCCCAAGCTCTGCTTTCACTGGCAGAGGGTTGTAGGAGGCTGTCACAACCCTTTTGTCTGGCAGAGTGCTCAGGCCACTACAGGTGACCTCAACACGAGTGACATTGAGCTGGCCACGCCCACCCTGGCCATATACACCCTGGCCCCTCTGAGGTCAAACACAACCTGATGCAGCCCTCAATGAAATCAAGTTTGACACCCCTGATATACGATTAAGAAATTGAACCTGCAGTCTCCAAAACCTGATTACTTTTTTGTCTTAACTGGTTGGAATACTGTGTTTCCGTGAAAATAAGACCCTGTTTTATATTTTTTTGAAAACTGAAATAAGCGCTTGGCCTTATTGCCATGCACTCAAAAGCCCAATTGGGCTTATTATCAGGGGATGTCTTATTTGGGGGGAAACAGGGTAGCTAGTCCTGTGTTATCTTGGAGTGCTTTATGGCGTATCAAAAGTGTAATGCAGATTTTTTTAAAATAAAAAGGATTACTCACCCTAGTTAAATATTCATTTGGCCTCCCAATGCAATAGGCTCCCTGGATCAGGTTGCTAAGTTCCCTGGTCTTAAGCAAAGGGAACAGTGTGCCAAAAACTGTTTTTGTCAGAAGGGAAGACGCTGTCAGGTCGTGTGAGGCAAAAGACAAATCGCTCTCAGGGACAGGTGGCTGTTTCAGTGATGACAATAATAGGAGAACCACTACTGGCATGTCACTAATCTTGGGGTACTTTTATGATCCTAGCATTTAAACTGCCTGACTTTTCAATCTGTCATTCTGAATAATATCCTAAAAGTGCTTATATCATCCCTTTACCTCATGTTCCTGTACCAGTTCTCACTGTTGTTTTATTCTTTCATACACCACACAGGGAAGCCAAACAGTGCTCACAGGCTGGAGGTAATGGCATCCTGCCAGATGCTAAGCAATATGTGGTGGGGTTTTTGCAGCTTGAAGCAAACAGTAACTACAAAAAGAGAAGTTTGGTACTATTTCTGATAGGCTGCTTTTCTGTTTCGTGGACTTTGCCTCATGTAGGGCAAAAGCTCTTTCCAGACCTCACATAGGAAAGCAAATTATAGGGAAACGGCATTAATGTTATTTAGTGTAATTAGGGAAAGTCCACTTTGGCATACTGAATGCAAACAGGCCTCCCCTTGGGGATTATACTAGAGAATCTTTAACAAAAGTGTTCTTTTGGGGTGCTAATTAGGCAGGGAAGTTAAATTGGTGGTAAACAGAATAAATAAACCCTAAAGGATTCCAATTAAGTAGTGTAGCCAGAAACCCTTTCTTCTGTTAAGTTTGAGAATCTTTCACTCCCTTGATTATTTGACATTTTTCCGGTTGTCATGGAAATCTTCATGATCAGAACAAATAACAGCTTTCTCTTTGGAGAAAAAAATTAAAACTACCTCAAGAGACCTTTTGTTAAAGAAAAATATTTTCTAAAAACCATATAAAATCTCTACATGTTAACATCTATGTTAAAATGTAACATAGATCTTCGCCCTGTGGTAGGAATGATTCAAGTGGCAGTTTTAGATCAGGAGACTGCATGTAAAACCCTTTGCTAGGAGATATAAATTTCTTATATATTCAACAAAGAATAAGGCAGTTTATCACAATGTGGCTTCATTCACATGACATTCTCATGATTAACTTAATCATAGGTTACAGTATTTCAATTTTCTGGATTCACCTGTAACAGAACTACAAACTGATGCAAGGGCTGGATTTGAATGAAATGGCTGGGCTAAAATATGGTTGACTAATTATTGGCTCAGAGTACTGTGTGAACATCATTATGTATGAATTAACTCATAAATTATGTATGTACTATATTGTGCTTTGTGAATGGCCACTATCTGTACATAATTTTCATTGTCTGCACTTTTGCATTTAAATTCCCCTAATTTCCTTATGCCTCTAAAGCAGTGATTAACTTTTTTTTTTTTTTGCCCTGGACCCATTTGAGAGTCTAGTCTAGTGAAATCTACAAACCTCTTAGAAAAATATGTTTAAATTAAAATGCATACATGTTGTACTACCAGTTATGCTCAGATAACTGATAATCAAAATATTAAAATATTTTAAAATAACAAACTACCGGTAATAATATATGTGAAACTATAGTTGCAATTTTCCATCCATTCAAGTTTATTAACTCCTAAAACCTATACACATAGCATAAATGTCAGGGAGTTAAGAACTCCTGCTGTAATGTAATAAATAGTACCAGTAAATTAGTGCTGTAAAGCTCCATGAAGTGGTATATAAGTCTAAGTGCTATTGCTAATGTTATTCACAAAAGTTTATGGTATAAAATGTGTTGTTTTTGACATTGCCTAAATTCTCTTCTTTTTTTTCTACAACAGATTGGCTGTTCCCTAAAAATCTGGTATTAATTTACCAGTCATATTTCACTGCGTTGTTGCTAACATAACAATGGGTGCATGTATGGCAGTGGTGAAATCCAAAATTTTTTTACTACCGGTTCTGTGGGCATGGCTTGGTGGGCATGGTATGGCTTGGTGGGCGTGGCTTGGTGGGCGTGGCAGGGGAAGGATACTGCAAAATCTCCATTCCCACCCCACTCCAGGGGAAGGATATTGCAAAATCCCCATTCCCACCCCGCTCCTGGGGGAAGGACATTGCAAAATCCCCATTCCCACCCCGCTCTGGGGCCAGCCAGAGGTGGTATTTGCCGGTTCTGCGAACTACTCAAAATTTCCACTACCGGTTCTCCAGAACCTGTCAGAACCTGCTGGATTTCACCCCTGATGTATGGGCATCTGTGGGGTGTCACCTACAAAAGGGATAGATATTTTTTGTCGCCACTCCTACTTACTTGCAGATTTAGATGTTGGCCCCCATGCAGATGCCACTAGACTTTTGGCACTAGACCCCATGCAGATGCCACTAGACTTTTTTTGTTGCTTTTCCCAAGCTGCTCTAAAAAAATAAAACTGGTAATAATATAGTCGTATATTAGTATACTACTAATATACTATTATATTATCCTACTAGTATACTAGGAGAAAAAATAAAAATACGAACAAGATGCAAGACATATAAATATATTTTGGATAAAGCATCTGAATACTAAGGAGAAGAATCCCAGCTGAATGTTTATCTCCATTGGAAAATGCTTAGCATGCTACCTGTAGGAAATGGTGAACAAAATAAAGAAAAAACTAATTCAAAGCTTTATTGCTTCCTTTTCCTTCCTGCTATGAGTTTTATGTGTAGGATAAGGCCAGCATATCACTTTTCTGCATGTCCAGCATACTTTCAGGTACAGAAAGTTATAAAGGTGCAGAGAGGCATCTATACTTTGTCCTAGCAAAGAAGTCAACAGTCAATCTTGATAATGCAACAATTACTTCATTGCTTGAAGTAAGTGCCAGGAACAGTCATACTAACAGTAATTCCTTCAAAGGAATGTAGAAACCATAATCCAAGGTTACTGGGAATCAGAACAGTGTCATCATTTCTTCTTGCACAAACTTCCCTGTTCCATGCTTCCTAAAGCTTCAAAACTGGTCTGTGTTCAGTCACAAAGCAATTACACTCCAATAACTCATGAGAATGGGGTTGAAATTTTAAAATCAAAACTATGCATTGAACTTCTTTGCAATGTTATTAGATTTTTCAAAAACTTTCTTTAGGTATTTCTATATCAATATAATGTTGGTACCAGGGCTTAGAGGCATCCTTTATTTATTTCTTGCTGTTGAGATCTGTTGCATTACAGCTTCAATTATTGCAGCCTGTACACTTGTGGAAGTCACCTATGGAGGTCTTGGGAAAGCAATATTGGCTTCTTGTTATTTTAAAGGATTTTGATGCATTGGAAATACTGCTATTTCCCTTATGGTACAACTTTCAAGGGGTGGAGATCACTTTTCTTGAATCCAAAATACCACTTTTCTGCTTCTAAAGTGATTTTGAGTCCAGTCTCTGGTTGTTTAAAACTTGCATAAACCCCAGCGAACATACATTCATGTCTAACAAGGTATTACTCAAACTTGGTAACTTTTAAGGTGCATTTTCTTTCCAAAGATCATCTGTGCAATCTATAGGACACTGCTGGTTGGGAATTCTGGAAAATGAAATTGCCCACTTTAAGAAACATTGGTTTAACTAACCCCTCTATCTCACGGGCACCACGTTGAGGATGCCCGTTTTTTAGGCTTTCATAACTTCATCGGAGTAAAAAAAATAAATAAAAATGAATGGATTCTCCCAGATTTGTCTAGACGTGCCCTTTGGAACAGCTGGGCCGGGAAAGAGGGTGGAATTGATAGCTGCGGGGAAGCAGGAAGGAAGGGTCAGGCTTGCTTGGAAAGGTGCCCTAAACCAATTCAGCAAGAAAGAGGCAGGTGATGACAACATCGCTATTTATGGTGCTTCGTGACAATCGCGCGGCCTTATATGGGCAGGCAGAGGACCTTGGAAGAGCTCTCGCGGTTGGAGGCGGAGCAGCAAGAAGTTGGCAGGGGAGACGCTCTCGCCAGATCGGCCGCCGGAACCCGCTCCCCTCCGGAAAGTCCCTCGCGAAACGGGGGCTGCGCGCGCCACAAAGGCGTGTAACTACCTCAGCCCTAGTCGCAAAGCACGAGCTACTGGGTTGGGGGCTGCGTGTCGGCCTTTCCCGGAGAGGAAAAGCTCTGCAAGAAGAACGCCCCTTAGCCAAGATAATCGGTTGTTATCAGAGACTACAAAAGAGAGAAAATGGTTGCTTGCTTGCCGTAATGATTCTCGGAGGAAAGGCAGAGTTGGCTGCCTCTACACTTCGGGAGAGGCAGGGGAGCGACACGCCCTTCCATTTTAACTGTTATTTTACATGCTCTTTAACATGGTACTCATCATGTGTTTTCTCACCCCTCTGAAAATCCTTGATTTGTCC